GGGGTCTTTTTTTTAGTATTTTTATTTCAATAAAGTGAATTCACGCGTCGAATTCGCGTGATTGGCACGCACTATTGCCACATCACACACGGCGTTGTCACACAAGCAAGGTCAACATTCAGAGGTATTTAGTAATACTTATTCTATCAAATTTGAGTATCTAAATGAGAAAGTTGTAAATTTGTTTACCGAGATAACAAAATGATGCAAGTTTAAGTGGCTCATAGGCGTTTTGATGATATCTAATGCTGCATTAAAGTAAAGTAGTGAGGTAGGAATTTTTTCTTGAATGTTGGTAAAAAATGAAAAGTTATATCTAAATAAGCGATGATGTTCTAATTGAAATAGAGGATTGCATTTTCTGTAATTCTCGTCAGCTACTTCTCGTTCTGCTTGTTGTAATGAATTTGTGAAGCTTTATTAAACCGCTACTGATGAATTCAAACTATACTGATGGGCGTCCCTGGGATGAATTCTGTTGCTGGCTGGATTTTAAGTCTCTTAGGGCTCGTTTGGTACAAGGGATAATGAATAATTAATTCCGGGATTAAATCTGAGATGACTTTATCCCATGTTTGGTTGGGATAAAATTATGGTATAACTAATCCGAAATTAGTTATCCCAAAATTATAATAATAACTAATCCCGGAATAATTAATCATGGGATAACTTGTTTTCCAACCAAACAACCCTATAGACTTATACGCTGTTAAGGATCACAAATTTTGTATGTCATGCTGCAGTTGTTAGTAGATACTATAAAATAGTGGCATTTACTCTATAGAACTTGACTTTCTTTTTGACGACCTTTTACTTTGTTTTCAGTAGCATTTCCATGTTAATTATCAATTTAGCATTATTTTTGAAATAATTGTTGTAAACCTGGTAATAAATTGTTCAACATCAATGCTTTGTGAATGACGTTAGGGTAGACATCGTGAAGTTAATCAATTACTCCCTCCCTCTCATGTTAATAGTCATGGTTACAAAAAATAGTTGTCTCGAATTATTTGTCATTTTAGAATTTCAAGACAAAATTGATAATTTTTTTTTTTTTTACCCTTAGTAATAATTATTCTTAAGGACAGAGATAACACATAAATAGAATAAATATTCAATGAAGAGAGATTATATCTTAAGACATAAATAAAAATAAAATAATTTAATTTATTTGTTAATTAATATTTTTTAATGGGCGCGTAAAAGAGAAACACGACATATAACAGGAGACGAATAAACAGTTTAGTGGGCGTGTTTGCATGCAACAAGACCACTTATTCCGGCGCCGATGATTCCTATTTGCTTTTTCCTTTTTCCAACATCGATTTTTCCGTTTACGTGTGTCTCCATGTTAAAAAGACAATAATATCCAAATTCCAACTCCACAAAAAAGGAAATTGGAGAATTGCCTACTATTTGATGGCTAAACTCAATTTTGGGACTTGTCAAATTATTCAGAGGACAACAGAGATTCTTATACTATAGCAACCAACTCAACAGACGTCATTAATCCAGTGTACATGATATTTTGTATTTATATTATCCCGAATAGTAATCCAATGGACAACGCAGATTCAAAATTTCAATATCCCGTATTTATACCGTACAATAGACGCGGACCCAAAATTTTAATACGACGAGCACTACTATTCTATTCAACCGATGTCCCTAAACCCAAAATTGCTGGGTTGAGTACTCATACTTTAATTGCTGGGTTTAGGGACATCGGATGTTTAAGTCCATCGGCCAAATACAAATGAATTCATAAGTTGGCCTATCTTTAAATAAGCATTAATTCAAAACATCTTTCCCATAATTCTTTATCCATAATTTAGTGCCTCACAATAATTTCAAACTAGCTTAGGACAACAACTCTCGAATACTCGTAGAATGTTTTAGGCACGCTTTTAATCTATTATCCTGATTATGTATACGCTCGCGTGACATAATTATGATTTCCAAAATAAATCAAAGTATGCGTCCGCGCGACTTTGACCAAATAATCTTAATAAATAATTAAGTGTTATTAATTGTGTATACGTACGCGTGACATAATTTTGACACACCAAACAAAATGGATATACGTACACGTGTTTTATTTGAAGATAATTCCATAATTGTAATAATCAAATAATTAAAAGCGGTAAAAGGCAAAATATACATAGGTTTCTAAAATATGTAATAATCAGGTAATCAAGTCAAGAATGATTGTAAAGCGACCGTGCTAAAATTACGAAATTCGAGAGTGCCTAACACCTTCTCTTAGGTTAATAGAATTCTTATCCGATTTTTTGTGTTTCGCAGACTTATACTGAGTCAAATTTCCTTGAATCGAGATTTAAAATAAATCGGTGACTCGAAAAAACATTTTCCCCGTTAAAAAAAAAAAAAAGAAAAGGTGTGACAGCAGGTTTATCACGGAAACATTACAGAGCGTGCTTGCAGGTGCCTTTCAGTCCTGTTTATCTTCCTTTCTTTTCATCTTCTCGGCGGGATATTCTAATTTCAAGTTTGATCTTCCCTCAAATTTGCCCAAGTTTTAGTCTCTTTTTTATTTATCTTTTTCATTTATTTTTCGTGTTTTTGTTGGGTTCTTCTCATATTTTTTATAGTCATATTGTTGTCAATTAATTTTCTCCTTGCTTAATTTATGCTCTCTCGCTTTTACTTTTTCTTATGGGTTTTCTCCGGTGTTGCTTTATTGTTTATTAGAAATCACAATTTGGGGTGTATTAGTTAGTTTCTAATTATTTTGATTATAATTTCTTGCTAGAGCTTTTAGGTACATATTAGTAATTGTGCCTGATTTGCATATGTATCATGTCTCTTTGATGAATTTTGTCTTTGTTATCAACTACTTAGTGCCCAAAAAAAAAAAGGTCTTATGGAAAATTTAACGTATAAAAAAATGACTGGAAGTATGAAGTGGATTGTGCACTTAAGTGTTTGTTGATATGCTCGAGTCATCTTAGTTGGAGTAATTATATTGTCTTTGACCTTTTTGGGTTGTAGCAGGAAAATCTCTAGGTGTGACTGTGCAAAGACTCTCGTGAAGAAAGTTAATTGGAGTATTTCGATTGATGTGGTTCTTGAGCTTGCTCTTGAATTTTGTTAATGCAGCAACATGACTTTTTAGGTATTGCTTAATGCTCTGATCTTCGGATGTTGAATTAAAATTTTGTGCTCCTTTAGAAAATCTTTCACGATAAGATGAATTAGGGTAGTTATTTTGGATAGAGATCAGGACAAGCAGGGGCGGATCTACCTCTTACGAGGTAGGGGTACCACGACACCCGCTCGCCTCGCTAAAATTCTTACTATGTACATAATATTTCTGTGAAGAAACGTATAAATTGATAGAATGACACTCAGAAGTCGGAAGCGGGTGCCATTGGTTCAGCCTTCCCTTTGAAGGCTTTCCTTAGCCTCATGAATGCAAGTTCGATTCCCTGTTGGAGCAGCTCCTTTAATTTTTCCTTTTTTCTATTTATTAAGATTTTTTTTTATTTTCAGTTGAGCCCCAGGGCCTCACCTCTTTTCTTTCTTTTTCTATTCTTTCCTTCCTTTTATTACTTGTTAAGTCTCTCTTCTTCATTTTTTTAACTTTCGGTCCTCATTTTGTTTCTATCATTATACTTTACTTTATGAACAATTATTTTCTATAGGTAATTTGAATTGTTTTTAATTAGCATATAATTTCTTTATTTTTAATGAAACGATATTAATTTATATATTGGAATATAATTTGAGCAATATCTTCTATTGGGTTTTGAAAAAAATTAAATGGCTTGATTGATAGTCGTTTTGAGTCGAACATCATAGGTTGAATGGTGAAGGTTTTTCTTTGAAAATAATTGTCATATAACTCAACAATTAAGATGGAAAAATAAACAAATAACAATACAAGTAAGTTAATCTAGTCAAACAATGAATATATAGTGTAGTTAAGGTATTCTTTAAGCAAATATTTATATTGGAGGCGCTCTTTCATGAAATGTTAATTTTCTTTTGCATTTTTATTTAGAATGTGTTTAAATTAAGCGTTACAAATTTGAACTAAAATCGAACTTATTTGTTTTGTGAATGAAAGGCATATTCAAATTAATCAAAAACTAACCGAACCGACCCATTATTCCTAATCTGTCTTTGTAGCTACTGACATGTATACTGTATGCATAACATGGTGGCACCGGCAACCTTCGAATCCTGGATCCGCTATAATTGGTGACTTTGTGAAACCTATGTCATTTGAAAACCTTTAGGAGCATTATGAGCTCTCCTTATTATCAGAAAACCATCACAAAGAGGTTGATCATCACACTGCGTGGAGAGACTAAATTGTTCTGGTCATCAATTTACTTATATTAAATCTTCAAGAGTTGTTTAATTAGTGCATTAGAAAAATGTCTGAAGAAATTATGATGTTTCCATATCTAATGCTTCTCCGGTTATCATCTGTTAGGAATTCTGAAGAGCTACATGCTATCAAATTTTTCAATTAAAAGTTTATAACTTGGTAGCAATTCTAGGTCCCTTGAACGGGCATTTGTAGATGTATATGATGTTAACAACTTTTTATGCAGTATTACAGTTTACTACTTTCTACTATAATTTATACCATTTTATTAATTATAGAAGCTTATACTTTGTTTGTCTCTGTCAGCGGAGTTTCCTTTTTGCCGGTAGATTCAAAAGACTATTCAGCATCAGAAAGTTCATTGGCACTTTATATGAAAGTGACCGACTGTTCGGGATATACAAATTTATTTGTTATTAGATCATATATTCATATTCAAGTGTAAGCATCTCATTCTTCTAACTTTTCCTTCCCTTTTGGTTCTTCAACAGGGCATTATCAATGTTTCCGATGTAGCCTAAAATAGAAATATGCTTGTATTTTGGGTAATTTTATATTGTTGGTACCCATTGTTAGCTATAGTTGCTGGTTTTAGTTTCAATGATCCCTTTTTGACACTACTTGACAAGAAAGATATAAGTAAGACCTTTTTATATGTTGTTAAAATATTGATTGCTCAAACTTTTTAAGTTTGATCAGTCATAACTTCCTATGTCATTATTTTCATCTCTTCTTTTCAGCTTGTGAACCCTGCTGAAGCTGAAAGAGAAATGAATGATGCTAAAAGAATCTTTTGCCGGCGCACTCTAAGAGAGCTAATTCTCTTAGAGAGTTTCACTCTTTGCTCAAGGTACTGATGTGTTGACAACATCAGTAGCATTTATGATTATTGGAGTTACAACTAACATCTTCTTTGAGCAATTATCTACACTTGATTTCAGACTGGGTACAACCCAAGGTCACCATTCCCTTTGGTTTTCACAATCAAAAAATCATTTGAAGGTTTACAAGAAGATAAAAAAGAAGAGAATGTAATATAATATATTGTGGTAAACCATAGTGTCCTAAATTTTTTATTGCATTGTAGGAAGTATGAAATTAAAACAAGATTGGCAAATTGCCGGAGGCCTATGCTTTTTTGAATCCAATCGTAGATATTATGCTACTTCTTTTCGACATTAAGAAAAAATAATTATGTTCTTAATGATGATGTTGTTGAACAAAAAGAATAAAAGTATGGCAATCCTAAAGCTCGGAATTCTATGCAATTTATAGTAATTATAGTTGTTATTGCTATTGTTTAGCGCTTCCTTTAACATCTTTCTTGCAGATGAAATAATCAAAAGTTTCTTTTTTCTTTTTGCAGTTAAAATAATCCAGCATGATGTTAATCGTGTTCGTGAGTCCGGCAAAATCAAAGATGACATAGTGCCTCATAGAGCCTCGTGTATCTAGGTATTTCAATAATGAATAAAAATGAAGCATTTTACATATCATGTTATCCAACTATTCTGAATCAAATTTTGGACGTTAGCATAAATCTGGATAATGTTCAAGTCAACGTGGACCATGTTTGAGATCAAATTGGATATTTGAAAGACACTATAATACCTAAGAGGCATTATACCAAATGAAGAAAAAATACTTACAGAGAAATTATAGGGAGTGGGTGTAACTTGAAGGATGCCATCATGCTTTAAAGGCATTATGCCTAATGGAGCGCCAAGTATTGCTTTATGTTCATACTTCAAGTTGTCCTTGACCTTTTGGTCTTCATCTGTGCCTTATTAATCTCCTGATTTTTGTGACAGCACACGCCTTAACAACACAAAATTTGATTACTAAGGGAATTTGACGCAGGTGACAGTTATATAGAGTTGTTGGTGGGGCTGTCAAAATATATTGGCAGCCCTATTTCTTCCAAGAAAAAACACAAGACCAACTTAAACAAAAGAGGTATCCTGTCTACCATTTAACTTTCTTTTGAATTTTGTTCATTGAAAAAATCATTTCTTATTTTTGGGCCATGGTTTAGTGTCTTGCAGGAAAATTATTGTTGTTTGTATGAGGGTTGTCTGATATTGGTGTGCAAATTGGGGAAGGCTGTATATCATCATGGCTTCGTTTTCTGGAATCCTCCAAAGACCTGTAGTTGCAGCATCTGCAGTCGCTATAGCTTCTGTATCTACTGATCTTCATGAAAAATTTTGGCCCTCAAAATCGATAGAGAATTCTTCTTCTGAAGCATTGCAAGAAAAGATAACATCATGGGTGTCTCAGATATCCGTATCTAAGCTTACCAATTTGTCCTTCGTCACCAGAATACGTGTTCCAAGTCCCAGCACCAGCACCAGTTCTGGTTCTGTTTCAAATCTTTCGTGTTCTTCCCTAGGCACTTCTTCCGTGTTGGTCAATTTTTATCAATCAGCAGCATTGGCCAAGTCTGCAAATCCATCAACATATACTTATACAGTTCCTTATTCGCCTTCGGAGGTGTTGTATAGATGGCATTTACCAGAGCCAAATGCCGTTGATATTTCAGGGAATTCTGATTGTTCATCAGTAAAGTCTAGGACTGTGGTAGTATTGTTGGGATGGTTAGGTGCAAAACAGAAGCATCTAAAGAGATATGCAGAGTGGTATGCCTCAAGAGGATATCATGCCATTATATTTACTTTCCCAATGTCTGAGATTCTTAGCTATCAAGTCGGGGGAAAGGCAGAGCAGGATATAGAACTGCTTGTGAACCATCTTGCTGATTGGTTAGAAGAAGAGCATGGAAAGAACTTGGTCTTCCACACTTTCAGTAACACGGGATGGTTAACGTGAGTACTCTTTGACAATCATCAACTTAGAAACAGAAGTATATGCGTTTTTCTTAAAAATTGTCTGTGAATTACTGATCGAGTTCTTTTATTCTTGGCTTTATAGTTATGGTGTCATTTTGGAGAAGTTTCAGAAACAAGATCCTATTTTAATGACAAGAATCAAAGGTTGTATTTTTGATTCTGCTCCTGTAGCTGCTCCCGATCCACAGGTATTGCTGTCTCTGAAATTGCCATCATATGATTTCTTTTTCATGCAAGTGCTGGAAAGAGTCTTTCTACATGTGTAGTTTATTTATGAGGTTTAATGCAAAGCAATTGTTAAGAGCCATATTTTTCTATTGAAATCCAATTATATCATCCTTTTATCGGATAAGTATTACAAGTTCTGTATACATATCACGGTCTAGCCATTTTGAAGATTGCTTAATTTGTACTCTAATCAGGACCGATTGTTCTCTTAATTTAATACTGTTGCTTTCTTCTATCTTAGGCCTTAAACTATGTTGGTTGCTTGGCAAAAGATATTCTTAAACTTGATAATGTGGAAGTTATTTAGAAATGCCATCTTTCTACGTCATCTCATTCTTGCTTTAGTCTTTTTCTCCCTTTCGCGGCTGGGAGTCAGCTGTGGAGTTTCGGGGGAGGGGAGGTGGTACTTGTGTAGTATTTAATAAATGTTAAATCATATTTTGGGCGCATGGAACTTTGATTTGATAAGTTGAAATTAACACAATCAAGTTCTCATATTTTGTGTCAAGGTATGGGCTTCTGGATTCTCTGCTGCCTTTTTAAAGAAGAATAGTGTTGCAACCAAACGCATCATGACTTTAAGCAACAAAGATGCAGATGTGACAATAGAAACCAAAACTTCTGCGGATGCTAAGCCTGCGGTAACTGAAGCAGCTTTACTAGTAGTACTGGAGAAGTTCTTTGAGGTGGTTTTGAACCTTCCCGCCGTAAATAGGTAAGGACATCTCTTTAGATAAAGTCTGTTTCCAGAATTGCCTTTTCTGCGAGTGGTTGTGATAAAATGTTTTTAAGCCTGCAGTATTTAATAGAAGTACCAAAATTGTATCTACTTTTCGTCTTTGTACTCACCTATAAAGTAGACCTTGTCGATGTCATGTCCACTCTCCAATGGATTGCAATTAGTACGTGTAGCAAGTGCCAAAGATAGGTCCCTCTATGTACTTACATTGATCTTTGGATGAAATTGCAGGAGACTTTATAATGTTCTAGATCTATTGACATCTGGGCAACCAAGTTGCCCACAATTGTACATGTACAGTCAGCACTTTCTACACCTCATGTTGATCATTTCAGAAATGACCCAGAATTATATACTTTACAGCTTACCCAATTTCTTGAGGATTCCATTCTAAGCTCTTGCAAACAGTCTTCCTGAATAATTCCTAACCACATTCATTCTTTTAGCCTTTTCTTCACTTTTTACCAAATACTTTGGTAAAACTTCTGTTTTCCAACTTTAAAACAGATATACATTTATAATACATTGGTGTAGGTTTGTTAAATATACAGTAAGAATAAGATTCTTTTATTTTATTTTAGTTGTTTCTGTGGTCTCCCAGCAATAAAGTTGCTGCATTGTAACCCAATTTTATATATTTATGTAATTATGCTACATGCCATTCTTGATAATCTTGCCATTGACCATTTCTCCTTGGTAAGAGCACAGTTAGGAAAGAAACTATTAACATGGATAAGCCTAACAACAGATTCTACTCTTTACTTTCAATGTTTTAAATTGTTTATCCACTTCTTTAGGATTGTACAAAATGATGACTCCTTGCTAAGAACTTTTTAGTATTTTATCCATGTTTCTGGACTGTGTTTTATAATCAGCCTGTACTTTATAAGACACTATGTTCTCTAATTTATTTGGTACAGTTTGACTTGGCTTAAAGTTTAAGAAAAACAATAAAGACTTTTAAAACTTATGGTTTTAAATATGCCATAAGAACTCTTAAATATGCTATAGCAATTGTATGGCTATAAAAGTCTCATCATACTATACTAAAAGTTGAAAGACTAAAATGTCCATTTAAAGCTAAACGACATTTTTGCCCTTTAATCAAACACAATTGTCATAATACTAATGTACACAATCGTAAAATTAAAACTCTTCATGGTAGACACTATCAAGAGTCACAAAGTTAATGGAATTGAGCCTCTTCTACTACCTATCATTAAGTATGGTACTACCAAGAGTCATAAAATTAATGGAATTGAGCTTCTTCTACTACCTATCATTATTAGATGTTGTAAACTATAGGTAGTAGATAACCTCGATTAAGAAAGTATGTTAAGTGAATTTAAACTACAATGCAAATGAAAAGACATTGTTATAATTATCTCATCTAGGCTCTTGAGGTTGATATAACTCCGTTTAGATACATACGACACTTTGATACACTCTTTAAAACAAAGCAAAAATCTTGTTCAGAGAACTAAGGGTTTGGGTTGAATCAAAATATTAAAGGAGAGGAGAGGACAGAGAAAGCTAGAGCAAAAATCGAGAGAAAGAATGATAAAGAAACAAAAGTAAAAATGATAGAGCTAATAGCAGTATTGTTGGTGTCAGGAGGCCAAAATTAGATCTCCCAAGCAGAAAATTAGTAATCACACTACTGTCTCAAGCAAAAGAATTCTGAAGGCTTTACAATTATCTTCCCGGGAAGAAGAGCATAGTTGTTTTATATGCCCCTTGGCAAAGGTCGCAAAGCGATTTTAAGCGTGGCATTTAGCTTGTGGAGTGTGTCTTCAATAGACAAATTTCTTATGGTAAATTTTATGGTACCATGTTTTAGAAATAATAGTGAATTTCACTTGCATATTACTTTAGTAAGTAATTCTGTTTATTGGTTAAATCTGTTTTAGGATGAATAACATATTATGAAGAGCTTGGCACACTTGACACTAAAAGGAACAAAGAAGTCTACAGTAAACAAATTGTTTTCTTTCGTTCTCTTTTGTTCTTTTTCCGAGTTATCTATTATCAGAATTACTCTTTCTTGTTCTGCCAATCGAAGATCCTCTCAATTTATTATTATTCTATGCCCAGTAATATCCCACACTATGGAGTCTGGGAAGAGTAGTGTGTACGCACAGTGGCGAAGCCAGGATTTTCATTAAGGGGAGTCAAAATATAAAGAAATAAACTCACCAAGAAGTTAAGAGGTGTCAATATATAGTATATATACATATATTTTTTTAAAAATTACCTAGCTACATAGTGTAATTTTTCGATTAAAGGGTGTCGGTTGACACCCCTTGAGTGCATGTGGCTCCGCCACTGTGTACGCAGACCTTACCCCTACCTCGTGAGGATAGAGAGACTGTTTCCGATAGACTCTCGGCTCATGAAGATCCTCTCAAGGCTTTTAATTTTAATTCATTATTTTTGATACCGGTGTTGATGGTCATATTGCTACTATATGTGCAGTCCAGAAATTAAATCACTCTGGTGTGCTCAAATTTGGTTGATTGTGCCTTATACTTGGATGATAACTCAATCGTAGATAACATTAAACAACTTAATTGACGTTAGGGCAGAGCATTTTGTGTGGCTTGTTTTATAATATGGAAAAATAATGACCACTATATTGCATTTAGCTTAATAAATCGTTGCATTAAAGATTTGATCTGAAGCAAAAAAGATAGAAACGAAAATAGAATGTGACTAAAATCGATGCATAGACAAAGATCATATGCAAGGGCGAGATAAAATGAAAGAAGTTCAGGTGAAGACGGATAATTACATCTAAATTAAGTAGTGAGAAAGTACAATCTGATTTTTTTATTCTGCAAGTATTTTTTTCTATTTAAATCTAAGTTTAAGCATTACCATTATTTTGAAGTCAATATCTCGAGAAATCATTTGTGAAACTGGATTTAGAAATAAAAAATATTAAGCATGTTGTGCTACTCTACAAATTAAATGAGTACAACAAATTTAAAAGCTACGGCTATCTCCAACTTATTGAATCATTTACAATCTATTATTTGTTATGAAGTAATTCTTAATTTTGATTTGAGCAGTAGAATACTATGACTGCACAAAAATAATTTATTTTGAAGCTACGAAAAATATTATCTAATTAATTATTTATTTTTATATAATATGTTGTGGGAGATCAGAAGGGTTACTTTTTTTGTTCTTTGAAGTTTATACATAGTTCCAGATGATTTTTCAACTAATTTGTTTGAGATTTTTCACTAAGAAAAGCTGAGTCTTGCCTCATGTATTAATACATAGGTTATTCCAGTCAAGTCAGGTCTAGAACAAGTCGGGCTTAAAAATACCCAGTCAAGTCAGGTTTGGAAGTTTTATTTTTATGTTATAATTTAACAAATATAATACGATATATTTTTTATTTGAATGTTATGAAACTTCTAAATTATAATAAATAAATTAAACATCAAACTTTAACGAGTAAAATATTACAAACTTAAAGTTTTAAATAAGATTTTTAATGTATATTAAGTAAACTTAAAACATAACCACTAAGAACAATATTTGAATAAAAATTTCTCAGACTTAAGAGCTTTATATTTTATTAAAATAATATCTTAAACATGAATGTCACGACCCAAAATCCCACCAAAGATCGTGATGATACCTAACCTCTGAGACTAGGTAAGCCAATCACACTAACAACATTCAATAATCAAAAGTATATTTAAAAATTTGCTCATTGCTGGCCATTGGACTCAGCAATACATTGAAAGATTAGAAGAGCATATTTTAGAGTTTACTTCTTAGAAGGATATGAGGAAATATATTTAAAATAACTTATTACCTTATCAAAAAGTATATTTAAAATTTGCTTATTCTAGCAAGAGGTCTCTAAAGATTACCTTTTTGTGGTTCAAAATGGTATTGGAATGGAAGCTCAATACAATTCAAAAAAATTTTATAACTTCTTATTCTTTGCAGTAGTTGGTGTTTTGTCTACTTTGAACATTAAAATTTGTAAGGTCCATGGTTCTTTGGTTATTTTTAACTTGATACGTTTTCTTTTGTTTAGGAGGCATAGTTAGTATTGGCAATTTGCATTTCTATTATGTATTAAGGAAAGAAGCAGGCTACTCTTCTCGACATCTCTGCTTCTGGGCAGGTATGCGGTTATGTTTTTAAATATATTACCCTTTGGATTGTTGATTTATGCTAACTAGAAAAAATATTTCATAGGTCATTTTGAATTTGGTAACCTTGACAATCTCTACTGTGGAAACTTTATCATTTTGCTCTGCTGCTTTCAATTTTCCCCAATACTGCTAATGGGATGGGCTATCACACACTATTCATTTAGTATACCCCATTTTCTGTGTTGCAGCAGCACTATCAATTTTTTCTGTTAAGAAAAAAAGGTGGTACAAATATCATTGAATGGAGTATTGTATGCAATACCAACCTACAATATTGCGCAATTACATACAATTTGAAAAAGAGAACAAGTGGAGTTGAAAGAGCATTGTTTTTTTTGCAGATACTGTAAATAGAAGAGCAAAATTAGGCTCATATAGTATAGAAGAATCTTTTGGATTATGGTCATCTATTTTGATTTCAATATTAGAGTATTTTATCTACTATCATCACCACAATTGAAAAATAAAACTAGATACATGTTAGGCCCGAGCTGGCACAGGCCATCGCCACCTAGTCTTTCAATAAAAATATACTTACATGAATTGGCATGTCCTTTGGAGAGGATATCTTCGAATGAGAAGAGAAAAAAAAAAGGACAGCTCGGTGCACAAAGCATCCCGTATTCATATAGGGTCCGGGGAAGGACCGTATCCAAGAGGTATGATGTAGACAGCCTACTCTAATGCAATCATTAGCAGCTGCTTCCACTGCTCGAACTTGTGACATATAGGTAACACGAAGACAACTTTACTGTTATCCCAAGGCTCCACTTCCTTTCAGTGAGAACATATTTTCAAATGAAGTCATGCCCTTAACAACATTGGCGGAAGCAAAATTTTCACCAAGGCAATTAAAAAAAAATAAATAAAAAAAAATTTAACCTTATATACACAGTGTAATTTTCGGTGAAGGGTATTTGACCGAACACCCTTCTGCCACCTAGCGCCGCTCCTGCTTACTGGAGATAAATTTTCATGAAAAATAATATCCCTCCAGAAAACCACAAGGTCAAAAAGTCACATAGGTTGGTATGTTGTAACCAAAACTCACCAAGATACCACAAGTTAACTTTTAATGAAACAATGCTATAAGCATTTACTTGCTAACCTTGCGTTTGTGCAGCTTAAATGGCTGTGAAATTTGTAGATTATCATGTACAACAGGCATTCCCACAGCATAAATGTGATTCAATCAAATAAAACAGAGGCCACTTCTCATTTTAGCAATAATGTTATCAGTTTATCCACAACACTGGAAAGTTATGAATTATAGTTTGCTGGCCTTTGAGATACTCCCCAGAGCTTTGGCCTTCTGTCTCAAAACAAATTTTTGTGTCTTTCCTGTAGAAGTTTTGGGCAAATCATCGAAAATTACTGTTTTAGGAGCCATGTAATGTGGTAAACGATCACGGCAGTAGTTGATGATTTCATTGGCAGTTGCATTATTACCATCCTTTAGTTTCACAAAGGCACAAGGTGTCTCACCCCAGTAATCATCTGGTTTTCCGACCACAGCAGCCTCAAGAACGGCTGGATGGCTGAATATCACCGACTCCACCTCAATCGTGCTAATGTTTTCTCCACCTGAAACAATGATGTCCTTTGTGCGATCCTTCAATTCAATGTAACCATCGGGGTGTTTCACTGCAAGGTCTCCACTTCGAAACCAACCCCCTTTGAAAGCATCTTCTGTGGCTTTGAGATTCTTCAAGTACCCATTCATTACAGTGTTTCCTCTAAACATTACCTCACCCATGGTTTTTGCATCTGGAGGTATGCTCTTCATTGAAGCTGGATCCTTCACATCTACTTCCTCCATGCCAATGTGGTGCAATCCCTGACGAGACTTGATCTTTGCCTGCTCATCAGGTGACAAAGAACTCCACTCAGGTTTCCAAGTGCAAACCGTTCCTGGACCATAGGTTTCAGTTAGACCATATGAGTGAGTTACATCAAAACCGAGCTCCTCCATCTTAAATAGCACTTGAGGAGGTGGTGGTGCACCACCAGTCATCACTGCTACTTTCCTTGGAAGTGACCTCCGAACACTAGGAGGTGCATTTATTATCATGTTTAAAACTGTAGGCGCACCACCCATGTGGCTCACTTGGTGCCCAGCTATGCTTGTAAAAATTCCTGCGGCTGTGACATTNAACATTCCTAAGACAAACATTTTTGCCACCCTGTGCTGCGATGCCCCAAGTTAGACACCATCCATTGCAATGAAACATGGGAACACACCATAAGTAGACAGGCATTAAAGGCAATTCATTGAGAAGAACTGCAGCAAGAGAATTAAGATATGCTCCTCTGTGACTGTAGACAACCCCTTTTGGACTGGATGTTGTACCTGAAGTATAATTCAGAGCAATGGCATCCAATTCATCAATTGGCCATACTATCTCAAAATTTGGTTTCCCGGTCGCTAAAAAGGACTCGTATTCCAGATCTCCCGGTATCAATGCCCTATTAAGAACACTAGACAGCTGCCTGTCGCAGTCGGGGATTAGGACTAGATAAGGAAATTTGATCCTTTCCTTCGAAAGAATCTTTAATGCCCCCTTAGCAATATCAAGGAACTGATAATCTACAAATATGACTTTTGCCTCTGAATGTTTGAGCAACACCGATACCATTGCTGAATCGTGACGAACATTAAGAGTACAAAGAACTGCCCCAGCCATAGGCACCCCAAAGTGTAGCTCATACATAGCAGGAATATTTGGAGCCAAGACAGCAACCTGCATATAATTGGTAAAAATTAAGAGCAACATGAGTATGATAATGTGCTTCTAAATGAGAAGTTATTTCCTTTCTAAGAAAACATGAAGTACAATAAAGGTGATCAAAACTGTTCAAAGACATAGAACAGAAACAAGGTTAGCTAACACTGAAAGAGAAGGCAAATGTTTAGCAACTTCTAACTTTGTTTACGTTCTCAAAGTAATTGAAACTTGATAAAACAAAGAAATCATCATCCTGTATATAATTATCCAAAAGAATAGGCCACTTATCTTTGAGCTTAGACTCAATCACTCAAAAGCATAAGATATTCTTTGACATAATGCACTAACTGCCCTCATTGATTGCGAAAGATTTTAACTTTTAATCCCTCCCCACGCAGCTGTTATTTTTAACAGAGTAGTTATGTGAACACGGCTTTGACGAGATAGATCTCGAAGATGAATATAGGGTTTATAGGCATTGGTAAGATGACTCCATCTGATGTTATGCATCAACTCGGAGACACCAATTACACTAAGGTGCTTGTAGGTGGTTTGGCCTGGTAGGCTCAAAGAAGGCCATGAATAAGTACTTTGAACAGTCTGGTGAAATCTTGGAGGCTGTTGTCATCACGGGTAAAGCTATTGGAAGATCTAAAAGATAGAGTGTACACAAATATTTCCATCTCTTTTACTTTCTTTTTCTCCACTTACTTTTTCTATTATATGAGGTATTTGTTAAAGGCAACTTTTGTCTTTTCTCCATCTTTAAGTCACGTCTCAGCGAGTTATTTCCAAATTACGTAAACATGAGCAAGAACAGCCACGAGAGCTTGTGTAGGTGCTGCTCCAGTCATTGATAGCACAAGGGCTTATTGCAATCTCACCTGAGCAGCAAGTGAGCTGCTCCCTCTGTCAAAAAGTAATGTTGCTTGCCGTGGACCCAAAGTAGGCCAGTTTGGTAAACAATAAGGAATATCAGTGCTCCATGCAAAAGAATATGAATTATTTTGAGTGTAAGCCCAAAGATAAGGGACGAGCAAAAGAATATGAACGATTTTGAGTCTAAGCCCAAAGATAAGGGACGACTTTTGGATCCTACATGCTTGAGAAAATTCTTCCTGAAAACCAGATCAGTCCTCCAAGAAAGTAGCATATTTACTTCATCAGTCACTATGGGAAGATTCGCCTACAATAGTATCAACACTCATCATAAAGTTCACTAGTATGAATTCCAAGAGGTAATATCAAGGCTACAATGGGTGAAAAAAATATCAAACTGAATTATTTGTAATTTAAATACCACTCCATATATTAGTGGAATCTACACAAATAATAATCAATGAAGAAACTTGTTTGCTGTATAATGACAGCTATAACAATTTGCCGTCTTTTGCACAAGTCAGTGACACATAAAAAACTAGGTAGGGAAGCCCTATGGTCCATTTAAAGCACCAAGAGTAACAAAATAACAAAAACAATTAATAATGACTTGTCCATGACTGGGCATCCACAACAATTGTTCCAGGTCCCCAATTTGGAGAAAGCAGCTCCAATTAACACCGAATCAAGATGAGAAAGAGAGAATTTCTCACCCACATTCAGAGCAAAAATAAATTATTTGCAAATGATCAGAGAAAGGACATATTGGAAAGGAAACTTCAAGAGAGACTAAAAAAATCCAATTAAAGACATACCACATTCAAGACTGATCATAATTACACTATTTTTTATCCGTCGACCTACCCCGTTCATAATTAAAACTATTTTATCCACCAAACTCTGGCTTCATCTGGGCTCAGTTTTGCAGACACATATAAGTAGAGTTAAAGGGAGAAAGTGAATAATTAAGATTAAAAAGAAAAAAGATACACCCTCCGCCTTGGAGTAAATTTCACCAATGGTCATTCAAGTTAGAATTTATGACACAAAAATCACTTTTTTTTTGTAACATAAAATTCATCTTTCTAAAATTTAGTTGACAGAAATATAAGTGGCAGGAAGAAGTCATTTTTGGCTGGAAAACTGACGTGACAATCTTAATTTGCATAATAAAAAAAAGGTCATATAATCAACCCATTTTAACACCCAGCATGACCCATTTTACTGAATATACAGGTTCTTAGTTATATTTAAACATAGCTATAACAGCGAAAAAATGATGGGGAGTCCATTGAATTTGCAGTCATAACAATAAATTCGAATTGTGATATCTAATGAATCAAATATTTCTCGTTGACATTAAATTATTGCTGTTATAAGAAATTAATGAATAGAATCAAATTCAGAGTATAACATTCCCGGTTAATTTAACTAGATCTAAACTTAGTATTGTCAAGTTGGGAGTTAAGTGATTAATTGTGGATACTAGTATTTTACTTGGTAAGAAATTAGTATATTCATAGATAGTCACTTTTCTGGTAAAAAATGCATTTTCCGGCCATTTTTATATTTCTGTTAATTAGAACTTTAGAAAGAAGATTTTTGTGTTACAAAAAACAAATGAATTTTATGTTACAAAACTTAAGTTGAATGACTCTAATTTACTCTCGACCCTTCCATCATGAGTTGTTTAACCGAGCACGTAGTTTTTATTAATTTTTTTTAAAACATTTTTGAAACTCATGGTTTAAAGCAAGCCACAAATTATTTTATTAAGCATAAAATAATAAATTTGAAGTTAAAATGTGATTGAAACTTCATAATTCGGAACGGAAGTACATTTTTTAGACAGAAAACAGAGGGGGGAAAAAAGAGGGGAAGGAAGAGAAGAACATTACGACATCACAGCGAGAAATCCCAAGCTGGATCAGAGCTGAAGCGAGTTTGAGGCACCTTTGGCGGGTCTCTGCCCAAGTAAACTTAACATCTCCGTAAACAATAGAAACTCTGTTGCTGTAAACCACTGCTGCTCTTTCCAAAAAGCTTATTGGACTCAACGGCACATAGTTTGCTGAGCATCGAATCGTCCCCTCCATTACAAATTTCTGAGATTTTTTTCAAAATTTAGAACTAATTTCGAGTTGATTTCATTCACCACCTCTGCTCACCAGTTCCTGAAATTAGAAAGTGCTACTAGGAAGAGAGAGAGAGAGTCACTAGTCAATAGTACAAGTTAAAATGCAACTTGGATATGTGAAATGTCAATTTCAATACATGGAGAGAATTGTGGTTGTAACATTAAAGCAGTGACAACACGACAAAGTTCCAAATATGGCCTTATAGTTATACGAAATTAAGCATATTTATCATTCGTTAATATTTTAACTCAAATATGTCATTATCGTCGCATAGTTAATTCATATATGCACTTAGAATTACACAATTAGTTCATATATGCCCTTTTCAAAATGAAATTCACCCAAACTAATTAGCTCTTTCGTTAATTGTACTAAAGTGTATTACAAACACTATTTCTTTTTTATTAGTACTTTTTTTTTCTTTACCTTTCTCTTTTCTTTCTTCTTTTTTCTTTTCTTCTCTTTTTTTTCTTTTTCTTTCTCCCTTATCCGTTTCCTTCATTAATGATGTCTTCTCTATTTTCGTCACCAATTTCACTTACAAAACTCATGAATTCCAATTACTAAGAAAATTCTTCCATAAGGTAATCAAGTTCCAATTTCACTGGCCCTCTAAATAAACGAAATTAAATTGTCTAAAAATTATGGTTTAAACTTTAAAATAATAAAAATATTTCAACCTTTAACAATACTCAAAAGACCAAAATATTTAAATTGTTTCCACAAAGATAATTTAATGATTAAAAGCCTAGAGTTCAAGTTGTAGTGTTATAAATTTGAGGAGTTAGTTTTTTTTCATCTTTTTTCAGCTAGATTTTTTTTTATTAACTATGTAAATTAGGGGTGTACATGGAACGGGTTGGTTCGGTTTTTATCAAAACCAAACCAAACCAATTATATCGGTTTGGATTGTTTGGTTTTGTTGGATTTTTGGGACTTTTTGTTACATAAATATTATTTCAATCTTACTTTGTTAAATTTTTTAGAACTAAATATATGTTCAGTAAAAATTAAAAAATTGACAAACATATGATCTATAAAAATATTATTATGGGAGAATTTTCTTAGTAATTGGAATTCATGAGTTTTGTCAAGTGAAATTGGTGACGAAAATGGAGAGAACATCAGTAATGGAGGATATCGGATAAAGGAGAAAGAAAAAGGAAAAAAAAGAGAAGAAAAGAAAAAAGAAGAAAGAAAAGAGAAACGTAAAGAAAAGAAAGTACTAATAAAAAGAAAATAGTGTTTGTAATACACTTTAATACAATTAATGAAAGAGCTAATTAGTTTAGGTGGATTCTGTTTCGAAAAAGGCATATATGGGCCAACTGTGTAACTCTAAGGGCATATATTGACCAACTATGTGACGGTAAGGGCATATTTGAGCTAAAGTATTAACGAAGGGCAAATGTGCTCAATTTCGTATAGTACAAGGGTATATTTGGACCTTTTCCGTTGACAATATGATTATAGCTACAGGTAATTGGCAATGTTCCATTCAAAAAGGTAATTGGGTATATTTCTTAAAGAAAATATCAATATGCCCTTTGGATATATGCGTTCAACATATAACAACAACAATAACAACCCAATATAATCTAATAAATAATATATGAAGAGCATAGTGTATACGCAGCTTTGCAACATACTGAGAGAGTTGTGCATCAGTGCATATAATTTCAAATTAGCACATACATTACTGATTATAAGTAGAAATGGCTATAATAAAAGAAATATTTGCAAATAAATATGTTAATATATTAATACATTCCTTACACTTTGATGGGATAAAGAAAAACCCCCTTGATCTAAAAGCAAAGGCTAAATGAGATAGTGTCACGACCCAAAATCCCACCGCAAACGTCGTGATGACACTTAGTCTTTAAGACTAGGTAAGCCGATTACAATTACAATTCAAACCATTTTTTTAAACATATGATTTAATACAAGTTTCGAAACCAAAAGCGAAAACAATTTTAACAACCTCCCAAGACTAGTAATATTGAGTCACGAACTCTAACTGAATACATGAAATGATCTCAAGGATCGAACATACAATACTGTTCGAATGATAATTAACAGTACAATAAAATGGAAAGACTCCAAGGGACTGCGACGGCCAAGTAACTCTACCTTGAATCCTTGTGATCAACACACTAACTCTGTCCCGAGTCCGATATGTCCAATACCTGGCTCTGCACAAAAATGTGCAGAAGTGTAGTATGAGTATACCACAGTCGGTACTCAGTAAGTATCAATACTAACCTTGGTGGAGTAGTGACGACTGACGAGGTATAATCGAGACACTCATTAGTCAAATAATTTATGCAATATAGCAGTATACGAAAATAATGAAAAATAAATAGCAGTTATGGAAACAAGAATCAACCAAGGATAATAACAGTAAGGCAATAAGAACACCATAAATAATGTTCAACCAAATAAGGAACACAAGTATAGTCAATGAAACAAGCTTTTCAAATACAAGTTGTTCCACAACAAAGTCACTATGTGATACCTCATCTTATAGTCAATAAACATGGGGCTCAGTCCACTTTCATATTCTCACGACATCTCGTGCCCATATCTCTATCACGACCGCACGAAACTCACGTGCCAATAATAAAATCATCATTTACTCGCGGCACCTCATGCCCACATTTCATTTTACAACTGCACGGACAATTCACGTGCCAATAACAAAATCATTATATACCCACGGCACCTCATGCCCATATTTTTAACACGAATCAAATAATTATCAGGTTACGTACTCGTGAGCTAGTATATATGACATGCTACAGTGTATTCATGTGCAAGTGTATTACTGCAACCCAAATCAATAAAAAAATATCAAGGATATCAATTAACTCACCGAAAATATAAGTCAAGTTACACAAAGTGTATATTAAACACAAGGAGAATCACAACATCACACAAAAATCACCAACACAATAATGCTACGTCATCACATAAAAATCACCAACACAATAACTCCACATCATCACATATCATCCGTGATATTGCCACCCTTATCATCTCTCCTATAGCCACATGTATCACTCTGCCTAGACAATATCAATAGCCAACCTTATCTCGCCTATAATAGCCTCCCTTATCGCTCCGTATAATAGCCTCCCTTATCACTCTATATAATAGCCACTCTTATCACTCCCCCCCCCCCCCCCCCCCCCCCCAAGACAATATTGCAACACACATAACAACAGTGAAATGTCACCCTTATATTCGCATAATATCAATAGTGAAATGCCACCCTTACGTCCGTATAATAATAACCCAAATCACACAGCAATTCACACGGAATATTATCACATTAACACAACATACTCAATTCATATTACAAATTGCCCATATGCCACAATCTTTCCAAAGGAACAATTAAATCAAATAATCTCACAATAAATCGCCCAAGGCTCTACACAACGTATATGAAATCTCAAAACAACAAGGATGGAAAAGTAACTCAGCATAGAACAACGCCTTGTTTAATCCAAATTTTAGGTAAGTAGATTAATGCTTCCTTTTTAAATTTTTATTTAATTATTTGTAGATGAGAAATCCATAATGAAATTATTTTCACAGAATGGTAACTTAACAAAACACAAAATTCACGTAAAACTCAAAGTAGCAGTTACACCAAATTATCATATAAACAAACTCGTCAAGTAAGGAATGAGGCATGTAACAACAACTTCCAAATAAAGCATGTAATAGTGAACACGGCCAATAAAGAGTGTAATATGTGCCTACAATCTTCAACTAATACATAAAAGATGCCTAAGAGTTTAAATCAATAGAATTTGCACATATAAGCCTGAGTACGTACTCGTCACCTAGCGTATACGACTTTCACACCATACAAAATTTCACATAAAACTCAATGCCTAAGGGATAATTCCCCCACACAAGGTTAGGCAAGATACTTACCTTTACGAAGTTAGGCCGATACTTTAAAATAGCCTTCTCGCTTGAAACGGCCTCTGGACGGCTCAAATCTAGCCAAATTAATTACATAGCATTATTAAAATTCATCGAAAATAATTCTGGATAATAAGACGTCGACTTTAAATTTCACATTAAAAAGTCAACCCGGGGCTCGCATCTCGGAACCCAACAGAATTTTATGAAATACGAACACTCATTCCGATATGAGTTCAACCATACCAAAATTATCAAATTCCGATAACAAATCGTCCTCCAAATCCTCATTTTTTATTTTTGAATTTTTTTTACATTTTTTCTCAATTTCTTCCACAAAATTTGAATTAAACGATGAATATAACCATGAAATGATGAAATATAATCACTTTCGGATATAGAACACTTACCCCAAACAAGCTTCTGAAAAATTCTTCCAGAATCGCCCAAACCGAGTTCCAAAAATCCAAAACGAAAATGGAGAAATGACCAAGTTCGATCTTTATGTTTCTGCCCAGTTTCGCACCTGCGGAACAAATTTGCGCTCTGCGAGCTTGCTTTTGCGAGACCAATCTCACTTCTGCGAAGTCCACTGCCCAGCTGATTAATCACACATGCGGCAGGAAGTTCGCTTCTACGCAAACGCAAGTGCGAGACAAAATTGCGCTTCTGCGCTTCATATCGCTTCTGCGTTGCCATAGACCGTATCTGCGATTACTACCTTGTTCCTTCCCCAGTCGTTTCTGCGATTACTACCTCGCTTCTGCGACCAAGACTTCCCAGAAGCGATTGTACCAGCAACAAAATTTTCAACAGCTTCAACAAAGCTCCAAACGATCTGAACCCGGTCTGAAACTCACCCGAACCACTCGGGACCTCGTCCGAATATACCAATAAGTCTTGTAACATAACACGGACCTACTCGATGCCTCAAATTACATCAAACAACGCTGAAATTGCGAATTGCACCTCGAATCACACTTATGAATTTTTAGACTTTCCAATTTACAAAACTCGTGCCAAAATGTATCAAATCAATCCGAAATGACTTCAAAATTTGCACACGACTCATAAATGACATAATGGAGATGTTCCAATTCCCGAAACTGAAATTTGAACCCAATATCATCAAATTCAAATCTCGATCAAGCTTCTGAATATTCCAAACCTTCAAATTTTCAATTTTCGT